AGCTGAATAAGTACCCAATCCATCTGGTGTGTATGCAATGTGCATACTATGGGGTACCTGGATGAAACATATAGTTTTTGTTTCTTAACAATTATGAAAGATACATGAAGTTAAAACCCGGGGGAGGGGACTCCTTAATAAAAATGGGCGGGGGTCATCCTCGTTGGAAATTCTGAAATGACCCCAAAAAGGGACCTGTATTGTGAGATGATGGGCGTGGCAGTGCTGAAATTTCACCCTTAAGAGGGACCAATCGATAATAGGTCGTTTTGTTTTGGTTTCCCGATTTTATTTGTGGTTTTGCACAAATCAAACGCCGTCGGATCGTATTGAGATCAATCATCTAATTAGCAGTTATGGTTGTTGTGATCTTATAGAGTGCAGACACTAAGTCTGTGAAATATGTACAAACTTATTAGTGCTTAACTAGTTCTAAGTTAGTTCATATTAGTAACTAGCACTCAGCCGTGGAACAATAGTAAATTCACCACAATGAATACTCAAGAGACTTCAGACAGTCAAGCTTTAATGATTTCACTAATGACTATGAATTTTATTGTTCTTTCATTACATACATTGTTGGTATATTTGAGTGCAAGCCCAAAGGTCGTTTGGCTTCTATGAAAAGTTATGGTTACAAAAATCGGGAAGTTGAAGGAGCTATTTCCTGATTTAAATCCAAACTCCATAGTGCCCATTTTAAGGGAAGAAAATAACAATATGGAGGCAGTTGTCAGTAGAATACTGGAGGAAAGCGAGAAAGTACAAGAGGAAAGTACAAGAGCAGAGCACGAAGAAGAAGACCACCAAGAAACTAGTGTTATCACAATGGCCGAGAATGTGGAAAAACTAGATGAGCTATGTGCTGTATCGGTTGACACGTCTGTGCTTCGAAGCATATTGAGCAATGTTTCAGCGCAAGAGAAGTCCGCGCTAAATAACCCCAGAGTGTTGGCGTTCAATAAGCATAGTCCAGCATCATCGTTAATAAAGCAAAGCATAAACAAAGATGCACTGGCTTTAACATCGTGGAGCTCACCTCAGCATTCAAACCATGATGTATATTGTTTTCCATGTACAAATGTTATAAGTAATAACATCTATAATTTTTGCCCTTATTGCGGAAAAATACTTAAAAAAAAATTATCGCAGATTGTAAAATTGTAACTCTTCTGTTGAATAGTGAATAGTGTGTAACTTTCTTAGAYCATTGTACTAGATAAAAAAAACAAAAAAAAAACAGAATTATCTGCTTGTAATGAAAGAACAATAAAATTCATAGTCATTAGTGAAATCATTAAAGCTTGACTGTCTGAAGTCTCTTGAGTATTCTTTGTGGTGAATTTACTATTGTTCCACGGTTGAGTGCTAGTTACTAATATGAGCTAACTTAGAACTATTTAAGCACTAATAAGTTTGTACATATTTCACAGACTTAGTGTCTGCACTCTAATGACGGCTTAGCGTTGTCGTATACCCTAAAAGGGACCACAAAACTCAGTTGGTGGAAATTCTCGTCATTATCACCCTATGCGGGACCAAAACACTGATTTCAAACCCTAAAAGGGACGACGAGGACCCCTGCCCTTCCTTATATAGTAAGTGGATTGGTGAAAAACGTATACATTAGTTTCTTGACAGTAGATAAAGTCATCT